GGGTTGAACTGTGATAGACGGACCATGTTGTACGGGGGTTGAACTGTGATAGACGGACCATGTTGTACGGGGGTTGAACTGTGATAGACGGACCATGTTGTACGGGGGTTGAACTGTGATAGACGGACCATGTTGTACGGGGGTTGAACTGTGATAGACGGACCATGTTGTACGGGGGTTGAACTGTGATAGACGGACCATGTTGTACGGGGGTTGAACTGTGATAGACGGACCATGTTGTACGGGGGTTGAACTGTGATAGACGGACCATGTTGTACGGGGGTTGAACTGTGATAGACGGACCATGTTGTACGGGGGTTGAACTGTGATAGACGGACCATGTTGTACGGGGGTTGAACTGTGATAGACGGACCATGTTGTACGGGGGTTGAACTGTGATAGACGGACCATGTTGTACGGGGGTTGAACTGTGATAGACGGACCATGTTGTACGGGGGTTGAACTGTGATAGACGGACCATGTTGTACGGGGGTTGAACTGTGATAGACGGACCATGTTGTACGGGGGTTGAACTGTGATAGACGGACCATGTTGTACGGGGGTTGAACTGTGATAGACGGACCATGTTGTACGGGGGTTGAACTGTGATAGACGGACCATGTTGTACGGGGGTTGAACTGTGATAGACGGACCATGTTGTACGGGGGTTGAACTGTGATAGACGGACCATGTTGTACGGGGGTTGAACTGTGATAGACGGACCATGTTGTACGGGGGTTGAACTGTGATAGACGGACCATGTTGTACGGGGGTTGAACTGTGATAGACGGACCATGTTGTACGGGGGTTGAACTGTGATAGACGGACCATGTTGTACGGGGGTTGAACTGTGATAGACGGACCATGTTGTACGGGGGTTGAACTGTGATAGACGGACCATGTTGTACGGGGGTTGAACTGTGATAGACGGACCATGTTGTACGGGGGTTGAACTGTGATAGACGGACCATGTTGTACGGGGGTTGAACTGTGATAGACGGACCATGTTGTACGGGGGTTGAACTGTGATAGACGGACCATGTTGTACGGGGGTTGAACTGTGATAGACGGACCATGTTGTACGGGGGTTGAACTGTGATAGACGGACCATGTTGTACGGGGGTTGAACTGTGATAGACGGACCATGTTGTACGGGGGTTGAACTGTGATAGACGGACCATGTTGTACGGGGGTTGAACTGTGATAGACGGACCATGTTGTACGGGGGTTGAACTGTGATAGACGGACCATGTTGTACGGGGGTTGAACTGTGATAGACGGACCATGTTGTACGGGGGTTGAACTGTGATAGACGGACCATGTTGTACGGGGGTTGAACTGTGATAGACGGACCATGTTGTACGGGGGTTGAACTGTGATAGACGGACCATGTTGTACGGGGGTTGAACTGTGATAGACGGACCATGTTGTACGGGGGTTGAACTGTGATAGACGGACCATGTTGTACGGGGGTTGAACTGTGATAGACGGACCATGTTGTACGGGGGTTGAACTGTGATAGACGGACCATGTTGTACGGGGGTTGAACTGTGATAGACGGACCATGTTGTACGGGGGTTGAACTGTGATAGACGGACCATGTTGTACGGGGGTTGAACTGTGATAGACGGACCATGTTGTACGGGGGTTGAACTGTGATAGACGGACCATGTTGTACGGGGGTTGAACTGTGATAGACGGACCATGTTGTACGGGGGTTGAACTGTGATAGACGGACCATGTTGTACGGGGGTTGAACTGTGATAGACGGACCATGTTGTACGGGGGTTGAACTGTGATAGACGGACCATGTTGTACGGGGGTTGAACTGTGATAGACGGACCATGTTGTACGGGGGTTGAACTGTGATAGACGGACCATGTTGTACGGGGGTTGAACTGTGATAGACGGACCATGTTGTACGGGGGTTGAACTGTGATAGACGGACCATGTTGTACGGGGGTTGAACTGTGATAGACGGACCATGTTGTACGGGGGTTGAACTGTGATAGACGGACCATGTTGTACGGGGGTTGAACTGTGATAGACGGACCATGTTGTACGGGGGTTGAACTGTGATAGACGGACCATGTTGTACGGGGGTTGAACTGTGATAGACGGACCATGTTGTACGGGGGTTGAACTGTGATAGACGGACCATGTTGTACGGGGGTTGAACTGTGATAGACGGACCATGTTGTACGGGGGTTGAACTGTGATAGACGGACCATGTTGTACGGGGGTTGAACTGTGATAGACGGACCATGTTGTACGGGGGTTGAACTGTGATAGACGGACCATGTTGTACGGGGGTTGGACTGTGATAGACAGACCATTTTGTTCGGGGGTTGGACTGTGATAGACAGACCATGTTGGACATTGGTTGGACTGTGATAGACGGACCATATTGTACGGGGGTTGGACTGTGATAGACATGCCATTTTGTTCGGGGGTTGGACTGTGATATACAGACCATTTTGTTCGGGGGTTGGACTGTGATAGACAGACAATGTTGTACGGGGGTTGGACAGTGATAGACAGACAATGTTGTACGGGGGTTGGACTGTGACAGATTTACCATGTTGTACATTGGTTGAACTGTGATAGACAGGCCATACATGTTGAACGTGGGTTGCACTGTGACAAACAGACTATGCTTTACGTGAGTTGAACTGTGATAGACATACCATTTTGTTCGAGGGTTGAACTGTGATAGACGGACAATGTTGTACAGGGGTTGAACTGTGATAGACGGACCATTTTGTTCGGGGGTTGGACTGTGATAGACGGACCATGTTGTACGTGGGTTGAACTGTGATAGACGGAACATGTTGTACGGGGGGTCGAACTGTGATAGACGGACCATGTTGTACGAGGGTTGAACTGTGATAGACGGCCGATGTTGTACGGGGTTGAACTGTGAGAGACGGACCATGTTGTACGGGGGTTGAACTGTGATAGACGGACCATGTGGTACGTGGGTTGAACTGTGATAGACGGAACATGTTGTACGGGGGGTTGAACTGTGATAGACGGACCATGTTGTACGGGGGTTGAACTGTGATAGACGGACCATGTTGTAGGAGGGTTGAACTGTGATAGACGGACGATGTTGTACGGGGGTTGAACTGTGATAGACGGACCATGTGGTACGTGGGTTGAACTGTGATAGACGGACCATGTTGTATGGGGGTTGAACTGTGATAGACGGACGATGTTGTACACGGGTTGAACTGTGATAGACAAACCATATTGTACTGGGGTTGAACTAAGCCAGACTAACATCGGTTGAAAAGGGCTAGAAATGTAACGGACGAATCTTGTTTTTCAGTAATTGAACACGATATACTTTTAGTACACGGTCAGGTACTGTGACGACAGTAAGAACACGATATACACGGTCAGGTACTGTGACGACAAAAAAACCAGGTGACACACGGTCAGGTACTGTGACGACAGTAAGATCACGAAATGCACGGTCAGGTACTGTGACGACAGTAAGACCACGATATACACGGTAAGGTACTGTGAAGACAGTAAGAACACGATATACACGGTCAGGTACTGTGACGACAGTGAGAACACGATATACACGGTCAGGTACCGTGACGACAGTGAGAACACGATATATACGGTCATGTACTGTGACGACAGTAAGAACACGATATACACGGTCAGGTATTGTGACGACAGTAAGAACACGATTTACACGGGCAGGTACTGTGACGACAGTAAGAACACGATGTATACGGTCAGGTACTGTGACGACAGTAAGTACACGATATATACGGTCAGTTACTGTGACGACAGTGAGAACACGATATACACGGTCAGGTACTGTGACGACAGTAAGACCACGATAAACACGGCCAGGTACTGTGACGACAGTAAGAACACGATATACACGGTCAGGTACTATGAAGACAGTAAGAACACGATATAAACGGCCAGGTACTGTGACGACAGTAAGAACACGATATACTAGGCCAGGTACTGTGAAGGCAGTAAGAACACGATATAAACGGCCAGGTACTATGACGACAGTAAGAACACGATATACTAGGCCAGGTACTGTGAAGACAGTGAGAACACGATATACACTGATAGGTGTTGTGACGACAGTAAGAACACGATATACACGGTCAGTAACTGTGACGACAGTGAGAACACGATATACACGTGTTTTTACTGTTGTCACAGTACTTGACCGTGTATATCGTGTTCTCACGGTCGTCACAGTTCCTGGCCGTGTATATCGTGTTCTTACTGTCGTCACAACCCCTATCAGTGTATATCGTGTTCTCACTGTGAAGACAGTGAGAACACGATATACACTAATAGGTGTTGTGACGACAGTAAGAACACGCTATACACGGTCAGTAACTGTGACGACAGTGAGAACACGATATACACGGTCAAGTACTGTGACAACAGTAAAAACACGTGACACACGGTCAGGTACTGTGATGACATTGGGAACACGATATACACGGTCAGTTACTGTGACGACAGTGATAACACGATATAAACGGCCAGGTACTGTGACGACAGTAAAAACTCGATATACACGGTCAGGTACTGTGACGACAGTAAGACCACGATGTACACGGTCAGGTACTGTGAGTAAGACCACGATATACATGGTCGGGTACTGTGACGACAGTAAGAACACGACATACACTGCCAGGACACTGTGAAGACAGTAAGAACACGATATACACGGTCAGAAACTGTGACGACAGTGAGTATACGATATACACGGTCAGGTACTGTGACGACAGTAAGACCACGATATACATGGTCGGGTACTGTGACGACAGTAAGAACACGATTTACACGGTCAGGTACTGTGACGACAGTAAGACCACGATGTACACGGTCAGGTACTGTGACGACAGTAAGAACACGATTTACACGGTCAGGTACTGTGAAGACAGTAAGACCACGATGTACACGGTCAGGTACTGTGACGACAGTAAGACCACGATATACATGGTCAGTTACTGTGACGACAGTAAGAACACGATATACACGGTCAGGTCCTGTGACGACAGTAAGACCACGATATACACGGTCAGGTACTGTGACGACAGTAAGAACACGATATACACGGTCAGGTACTGTGACGACAGTAAGAACACGATATACACGGTCAGGTACTGTGACGACAGTAAGAACACGATATACACGGTCAGGTACTGTGACGACAGTAAGAACACGATATACACGGTCAGGTACTGTGACGACAGTAAGAACACGATATACACGGTCAGGTACTGTGACGACAGTAAGAACACGATATACACGGTCAGGTACTGTGACGACAGTAAGACCACGATATACACGGTCAGGTACTGTGACGACAGTAAGAACACGATATACACGGTCAGGTACTGTGACGACAGTAAGAACACGATATACACGGTCAGGTACTGTGACGACAGTAAGAACACGATATACACGGTCAGGTACTGTGACGACAGTAAGAACACGATATACACGGTCAGGTACTGTGACGACAGTAAGAACACGATATACACGGTCAGGTACTGTGACGACAGTAAGAACACGATATACACGGTCAGGTACTGTGACGACAGTAAGACCACGATATACACGGTCAGGTACTGTGACGACAGTAAGAACACGATATACACGGTCAGGTACTGTGACGACAGTAAGAACACGATATACACGGTCAGGTACTGTGACGACAGTAAGAACACGATATACACGGTCAGGTACTGTGACGACAGTAAGAACACGATATACACGGTCAGGTACTGTGACGACAGTAAGAACACGATATACACGGTCAGGTACTGTGACGACAGTAAGAACACGATATACACGGTCAGGTACTGTGACGACAGTAAGAACACGATATACACGGTCAGGTACTGTGACGACAGTAAGAACACGATATACACGGTCAGGTACTGTGACGACAGTAAGAACACGATATACACGGTCAGGTACTGTGACGACAGTAAGAACACGATATACACGGTCAGGTACTGTGACGACAGTAAGAACACGATATACACGGTCAGGTACTGTGACGACAGTAAGAACACGATATACACGGTCAGGTACTGTGACGACAGTAAGAACACGATATACACGGTCAGGTACTGTGACGACAGTAAGAACACGATATACACGGTCAGGTACTGTGACGACAGTAAGAACACGATATACACGGTCAGGTACTGTGACGACAGTAAGACCACGATGTACACGGTCAGGTACTGTGACGACAGTAAGAACACGATATACACGGTCAGGTACTGTGACGACAGTAAGAACACGATATACACGGTCAGGTACTGTGACGACAGTAAGAACACGATATACACGGTCAGGTACTGTGACGACAGTAAGACCACGATGTACACGGTCAGGTACTGTGACGACAGTAAGAACACGATATACACGGTCAGGTACTGTGACGACAGTAAGAACACGATATACACGGTCAGGTACTGTGACGACAGTAAGAACACGATATACACGGTCAGGTACTGTGACGACAGTAAGAACACGATATACACGGTCAGGTACTGTGACGACAGTAAGAACACGATATACACGGTCAGGTACTGTGACGACAGTAAGAACACGATATACACGGTCAGGTACTGTGACGACAGTAAGACCACGATGTACACGGTCAGGTACTGTGACGACAGTAAGAACACGATATACACGGTCAGTTACTGTGACGACAGTAAGAACACGATATACACGGTCAGGTACTGTGACGACAAAAAAACCAGGTGACACACGGTCAGGTACTGTGACGACAGTAAGATCACGAAATGCACGGTCAGGTACTGTGACGACAGTAAGACCACGATATACACGGTAAGGTACTGTGAAGACAGTAAGAACACGATATACACGGTCAGGTACTGTGACGACAGTGAGAACACGATATACACGGTCAGGTACTGTGACGACAGTGATAACACGATATATACGGTCATGTACTGTGACGACAGTAAGAACACGATATACACGGTCAGGTATTGTGACGACAGTAAGAACACGATTTACACGGGCAGGTACTGTGACGACAGTAAGAACACGATATATACGGTCAGGTACTGTGACGACAGTAAGCACACGATATATACGACACGGTCAGGTACTGTGAAGACAGTAAGACCACGAACGGTCAGGTACTGTGACGACAGTAAGAACACGATATATACGGTCAGGTACTGTGACGACAGTAAGACCACGATATACACGGCCAGGTATTGTGACGACAGTAAGAACACGATATACACGGTCAGGTACTATGAAGACAGTAAGAACACGATATAAACGGCCAGGTACTTTGACGACAGTAAGAACACGATATACTAGGCCAGGTACTATGAAGACAGTAAGAACACGATATAAACGGCCTGGTACTGTGACGACAGTAAGAACACGATATACTAGGCCAGGTACTGTGAAGACAGTAAGAACACGATATACACTGATAGGTGTTGTGACGACAGTAAAAACACGATATACACGGTCAGTAACTGTGACGACAGTGAGAACACGATATACATGGTCAGTTACTGTGACGACAGTAATAACAAGATATACACGGCCAGGTACTGCGACGACAGTAAAAACACGATATACACGGTCGGTAACTGTGACGACTGTGAGTATACGATATACACGGTCAGTTACTATGAGGATAGTGATTACACGGTATACACAGCCAATTACTGTGACGACAGTGAGAACACGATATACACGGTCAGGTACTGTGACGACAGTAAGAACACGATATACACGGGCAGTTACTGTGACGACAGTGAGAACACGATATACACGGCCAGGAACTGTGACGACAGTGAGAACACGATATACACGGTCAAGTACTGTGACGACAGTAAGAACACGATATACGCGGCCAGGTACTGTGACGACAGTAAGAACACGACATACACGGCCAGGACACTGTGAAGACAGTAAGAACACGATATACACGGTCAGTTACTGTGACGACAGTGATAACACGATATAAACGGCCAGGTACTGTGACGACAGTAAAAACTCGATATACACGGTCAGGTTCTGTGACGACAGTAAGAACACGATATACACGGCCAGGTACTGTGACGACAGTAAGAACACGACATACACGGCCAGGACACTGTGAAGACAGTAAGAACACGATATACACGGTCAGTTACTGTGAGGACAGTAAGAACACTATATACACGGTCAGGTACAGTGACGACAGTAAGAACACGATATACACGGTCAGTGACTGTGACGACAGTGAGAACACGATATACATGGTCAGGTACTGGGACGACAGTAAGAACACGATATACACGGTCAAGTACTGTGACGACAGTAAGAACACGATATACGCGGCCAGGTACTGTGACGACAGTAAGAACACGATATACGCGGCCAGGTACTGTGACGACAGTAAGAACACGATATACACGGCCAGGTACTTTGACGACGGTGAGAACACGATATAAACGGCCAGGTACTGTGACGACAGTAAAAACTCGATATACACGGTCAGGTTCTGTGACGACAGTAAGAACACGATATACACGGTCAAGTACTGTGACGAAAGTAAAAACACGTGACACACGGTCAGGTACTGTGATGACAGTGGGAACACGATATACACGGTCAGTTACTGTGACGACAGTGATAACACGATATAAACGGCCAGGTACTGTGACGACAGTAAAAACTCGATATACACGGTCAGGTTCTGTGACGACAGTAAGAACACGATATACACGGCCAGTTACTGTGACGACAGTGAGAACACGATATACACGGTCAGGTACTGGGACGACAGTAAGAACACGTGATACATAGGATTCCCTTGATAAGGTATTAGGTGTACTATGCACTAATGTTTTAGTACGTTACGAGTTACGAACGGATCGATAAGCAAGTCGCAATACAAACAATACACATCATCAAATTACACGTGTAGTATTGTACTATAATACTGCCTACATCAGCATTCGGCAGCCACGATTTCCTCAATTTCAAATGATTTTTTAATGCCGAGGCCCATTTCATGCAAAAGCTGTTGGTTTTAGATGATAACATCAATAATAATTTTGCGTTGGACGTACAAGACACTTGTCTGTGTGTTATAATTAAGTTTAAGGTGAAAAAATTGGAATCAGCGAGGTATCTTTTTAGTTTTAACAACTTCAATCTTTTAATTATAACTGCTTATTTTCCCTTTTACATACATTTGCGACATTCAAAGTTCAGAGCACCCCTGTAGGTCGGAGTTTCCCCATTGCATGTTGTAAGACTTATGAGGGAACTCCTTGCAGAATTGGGGGCTTTGTTTTTAGCCCTCTACTCGGGGAAAAAAAATTGACCAAACTCAATCTGCTGTACGCATCTCTCTCTGCTTCCTAACAACTCTTCTGTTCCCTAACGCTTTGCTTAGCAATACTTCACTTTTGGCCACAGAAAGTTTCTGTCCCCAGGATGGGACATACTAAAGTCAGTAAAGATGGTAGTTTGCCAAGCGTTCAGCTTTTCGGGTAACAGTTTAAGATTTTATACTGGGTTTCATTGAGGTAGCACCTTAAATTCTCTATCACATACGTGCATACTGCCTGCAGCACACATACCCACATGTACGATTATAGTACACACGTGAAGACGCGTCTTAGCAGTGAATAGGACGTTAAACAAAATAAAACCTAAACAAAATAAAACCAAACCAATCACAGAGTAACCTTCCTCCGCAAATGCTTGCTTAATTTCACGGTTTTAATACAATGTGTTACTATTGTCAACAAGTCGTAATAAAATTTGATAAGTAGGTCTTTACTCTATGCTTAATTAGCATTTGATTAAAATAGAGATTACCATGTATAAGTCAGATTTTAGAATATTATCGCTTTTAAAGCGGATAACATATCAATATCAGGTATAATCCTATTTTCACGGATTTTATTATTGACTGATGAAGCCTTTTTTTACGGGTACGTTTGTGTGATTTAAGATAGATGACTCGCGAACTCGTACTGCCTATGAATATGCTCGATTATTCTTTGTTAGTAACGCCTAGCCGGTCTTTTTACCATAAGTTTGTTTTAGTCTTAACAAGTCATCGTTTTAGATATTACCAAGCTTTGTCAGTATTTCGAATGAACCTTACCGGCGTAGTATAATTTAATATTCCTACACTCTGGTTTGCGTGTGTGTGATCAATTTTGTCACCCGATATTGTCTCCTAATTATTGATATCACGTCAACACAAAACAATATTGTGCGGTACAATGAACATTACAGTAGTGTAAATATAGCTTGGTGTTTCCGCATCAAGGCAACTAATGTCAAATCATTTCAGCTTACGGTATCATTATTTACAATGGCAATATCTACTGTTGAACTGCTGCATTATGTTACCACACTTAGTAATGGGGAATCTTTTTCATATCTAAAGCATATCTGAATGCAAATAAAATCCAGACATGTGGGGAAATGCATGAATAGCGGTATTATTACTTGGTATTACAGTGTAAATAAGTCAATATCGTAAATAATTGAACGTATTGCTATAAATCGTGTTTCGACTATCAGCATTTACTACCAATACAAAAGTCAACCTATCCTTGTTGAGCGGTAAAGCCTTGTGTATGCAGTGAGGCGAACAAAAACGGTACAACGAATACTATCACAGTTTTAACTGACATAGGTAATGGTGGTGATCGATAACGGACGCACCCGTGTCTTATTGACTTCGCATACATTTACACACGGAGCACGCGCTGGGCTGGCCAGAACTTTGTTCCGAACTCCGAACATCGCTACGCGCAATCTCCAGTCTGCTTTCTAGGCACGTGCTGTCACAACGCATCATCACGAATGCACACGAAGTCGACACAACTAGCACACAAAATACAGAACACACATCACCTGAAAGCACGTGTTGTCGACAAAAATCGCCGACAGGACACATGAGGTAATCATGCATCACAACACGACAAGTGAGGTCAGCAGGCATCACCACATTGGCACGTGAGGTCATCACGCATCACCAGCTGGACACGTTTTGTCATCACGCATCACCACCTTGGCACGTGAGGTCATCACGCATCACCAGATTGGCACATGAGGTCATCACGAATCACCAGATTGGCACGTGAGGTCATTAGAAATCAGCAGCCGGCACGTTAGGTTATCAGGCATCACCACATTGGCACGTGAGGTCAACACGCATCACCACCAGGGCACGTGAGGTCATCATCTATTGTCATTTTGACATGTGTGGTCACCATACATCGTCATTCTGACACGTGAAGTCACCAAACATCGTCACCTTGACACGTAAGGTCACCATGCATCGTCACTTTGACACGTGAGGTCACCATATATCGTCACTTTGACACATGAGGTCACCATACATCGTCACCTTCACACGTAAGGTCACCATACATCGTCCTCTTGACACATGAGTTCACTATACATCGTCACCTTGACACGTGAGGTCACCATACATCAACAACCTGAAACGCGAGGTCACCACATATCGTCATCCTAATATGTGAGTATACAATACATCGTCATCCTTACATCTGAGGTCATCATACATCAACAACCTAACTTGTGAGGTCACCATACATCGTCATCCTTACATCTGAGGTCATCATACATCAATAACCTAACACGTGAGGTCACCATACATCGTCATCCTTACATCTGAGGTCACCAAATATCGTCATCCTAACACGTGAGGTCACCATACATCAACAACCTAACACGTGAGGTCACCATACATCGTCATCCTTACATCTGAGGTCACCACATATCGTCATCCTAACCCGTGAGGTCATCATACATCAACAACCTAACACGTGAGGTCATCATACATCGTCATCCTGACAAGCTTGGTTAGCACATACGTCGTTATTTGTCATCCTACATCGACTCTCTGAAAGGGTAGCTCTGCATCGGCTCCCCAACAAGTTACCATAAATGGTCCACCAATATAAAGCCATACATCGGTACCTGTAAGATTGCTATACATTGCTTACCCGGAAGGTTGCCATACTTTACCTACCATGAAAGATTCATTGCTGTCGGCCCTGTTATTACTCCTGATTCCAAAATTCACATCAGGTAAGCAATATTGATTAAATTCTAGATTTGGAAGACAATGTCAAGAATTATACTGATATCGTGGGAAAGCCTTGAGTTGTAAGCTGTATACAAAGATGTCGACAGTCATGTGTTACGTGTAGTAAGTTTATCTCGTAGATTTACAATGCTTTCTGTACGTAACCTGTCGTAACACTGGGGTTTTATTGACTCAATCAGAGTAATTGACGTCCAGCCATGTATTGCCTGTTGTCCCTGTGAGGGTACATCAAAGGGACACGTTACCTCTCATTGCACCTGCTCATTGATTACTCAGTCTTCAGTATCAACATTAAACATATTGTAAGTCATTGTTTATATTAGGATTGGTCTATAGGTAGGTTGAAAGTGAAATATGTGGAAAAACAATCCAAACCATTCAATAGTTAACTTTTGCTGTCTAGACTTCATTGAAGAAGAGCAGTTCAAAAAATGTAAAAAGTAGCATAACAAATGTACTAGTGTAACAGAAATAACATGCATTTGAACAGCACATATTCATAGATATGACTTAATAATGAGTATATGTTTTAAGCGACCATGTGGACAATCATGGTGGTGACCAGTGACATGAGATACGCAGGGAGCTCAGCGCACGTGTATGCCAGCATCAGTGGGACGGGAGGATACATTGCAGAGTTGTTCCTCGGGAACAGCCATCCCCGAGGAGGGTTGCAATACTTAACCGTGAATATGATGGTCGGGATCCCGTATAGAGTTAAGGTGTGGCACGACAACACTGGGAATGAGCCGGAGTGGCACTTAGAACGGGTAAATATTTCACGTGATTTGGTCTGCATCTTTCCGTTTTTGGTACGCAAAAAAATAAAGAATGTTTTCCCCTACCTTGAGGGTGAGACAAAGACATCTCCAACCCAAAGGGGGATTTTTGGGTGTCTTACCGGAGGCTCTGTCGATTTCTCTTTTACACCCTCAAGGTAAGGGATGATGGTTTTTCTCCTATTATTCTAATCTATCTCGATAAAATCAATAGTTTTAAGTATTTGTAATCTGTTTTTATCCTAAATTGCATACGCCATATCATCGGGGTTGACTAATAGAATCACTGTTACACCCTCAAGGTAGGGGATGATTATTTTTCTCCCATCTTATTATTTCAGTCACAGCTCCACCGACAGTAGTCTGCCAGGTTTGTAAACAAAAACACATGTGGGGTATGCATATCGTCATTCACTTTTGATGACGTCACAATTACCGATGACGCATTTTAATGACGTCACAGTTACCGATGACGCATTTTAATAACGTCACAATTGAACACGTGCTACTCGGCACGAGGCTTTCTGCCCCTAGGGGGTGACTAATAGAATCTATCGCTACTGGTTGTGTAAGATAGAGAAATCTCAACCCGAGGACTAAGATTTTTTGTCCAAAACGAGGCTTGCNGGTTGAGATTTCTCTATCTTACACAACCAGTAGCGATTGATTATTTTTCTCCCATATCTAACAGTATTTTAATGTGAAATAAAGGTAAACATGGACCCAAAACACATACAGGCAATTTGTTGATGGATTGTTGACGTGACGTCATTGTATTGTTGAAGTGACGTCATGCCATTGTTATGAATAGGGGAATCCCCCCGTCTCAACCCTAGGGCGGAGACAGATAAATCTAGCACCGGCAAAACGGGAGATAAACCTGTCAGGTGTGGGAGAAAAGCTGATCTTTACCGGCTAAAACGGGAGACACATCTGTGAAGGGTGGGAGAAAGAGAAATCATACCCTAGGGGATGACAGAGAAATCATACCATAGGGGATGACTGAGAAATCATACCCTAGGGGGTGACTGAGAAACCGTACCCTAGAGGGTGACAGAGAAATCATATCCTACGGGGTGACTGAGAAACCGTTCCCTAGAAGGTGACTGAGAAATTATACCATAGGGGGTGACAGAGAAATCATAGTCTAGGGGGTGACAGGGAAATCAAACCCTAGGGGGTGACCGAGAAACCGTTCCCTAGAAGGTGACTGAGAAATCCTATCCTGGGGGTGAAAGAGAAACCATATTCTAGGGGGTGACACAGAAATCATACCCGGGGGGTGACAGAGAAATCATATCATAGAGGTTGACAGAAGAATGATAAACAGGTAGTAAAACTGGAGGTAATTCTGTTGAACAGGCGTATCCACCCCCCACCCCCCACCCCCCCCAACCCAACAACTCGAGGCTCTACCGAAGGTTTGACAACCAAATAATAATAGGAAGGGAGAAAACTATTATTCCCTACCTTGAGGGTGCCACCAGGTACAGAGAAATCTTCTACCTATGGTGTGATTATTTGGTTATCAATACCTCAGCGGAGCCTAGGGTTGAACAACCAAAAAATCCTACCACGGGTTAACCTGTCACATCCTCCCCAAGGTAAGGGAGGATTCTACCAGTCATCAGACGTAGAACGCGTACGTCATCAAACATATAGAGCAATATATGATTAGATGAAAACATGGTTTACTTACCACTATGTCAAACATAGTCTTAACATTATTAACACTGATGTTCTGACCCGTTTATACCAGATTACACCTGTTTCCTCGTAAAGGATTGTTCAATAGAAAACAAACAAAATGTATTGATATTATGTTTGAAGTGTGGCGTTTACTAATTTTGATCCTTAATTAAGATTTAGAGTTGAATCGTTATCAAGTTCGAAAATGTGTAGTGTTTTAGTAGCGCTAACAGACGGCAGCACTTATGACATATGAAACTGTTGTTACAGGTAGTCCTAATCAGCCACAGGACATGGAAGCAGTTTATGTTCGTGTGTAGAGGCTGGTTATCCGAGTACAGGTCACTTTCACAGTCTTTATCAGTAAAGGGTAAGATATGTTTTACGAGAAACGAGCTTTCGTCCAAAGTTACACACAGTACCCGCAAAAAGGTTAACAACACAGCATTATCAGGACCTATCATACACAGGTAAACAACACAGCACTATCAGAAACTATCCTACACAGGTAAACAACACAGCATTATCAGGAACTATCCTACACAGGTAAACAACACAGCATTATCAGGACCTATCCTACACAGGTAAACAACACAGCACTATCAGGACCTACCCTACACAGGTAAACAACGCAGCATTATCGGGAACTACCCTACACAGGTAAACAACACAGCATTATCAGGACCTATCCTACACAGGTAAACAACACAGCATTATCAGGACCTATCCTACACAGGTAAACAACACAGCACTATCAGGACCTATCCTACACAGGTAAACAACACAGCACTATCAGGACCTATCCTACACAGGTAAACAACGCAGCATTATCGGGAACTATCCTACACAGGTAAACAACACAGCATCATCAGGAACTATCCTACACAGGTAAACAACACAGCATTATCAGGACCTATCCTACACAGGTAAACAACACAGCACTATCAGGAACTATCCTACAAAGGTAAACAACACAGCATTATTAGAACATATCCTTCCCAGGTAAACAACACAGCATTATCAGGAACTATCCTACACAGGGAAACAACACAGCATTATTAGAACCTATCCTACACAGGCAAACAACACAGCATTATCAGGAACTATCCTACACAGGGAAACAACACAGCATTATCAGGAACTATCCTACACAGGTAAAAAACGCAGCATTATCAGGAACTATCCTACAAAGGGAAACAACACAGCACTATCAGGAACTATCCTACAAAGGTAAACAACACAGCATTATTAGAACATATCCTTCCCAGGTAAACAACACAGCATTATCAGGAACTATCCGACACAGGTAAACAACACAGCATTATCAGGAACTATCCTACACAGGGAAACAACACAGCATTATCAGGAACTATCCTACACAGGAAAACAACACAGCATTATTAGAACCTATCCTACACAGGTAAACAACACAGCACTATCAGGACCTACCCTACACAGGTAAACAACGCAGCATTATCGGGAACTATCCTACCCAGGTAAACAACACAGCATCATCAGGAACTATCCTACACAGGTAAACAACACAGCCTTATTAGAACCTATCCTACAAAGGGAAACAACACAGCACTATCAGGACCTATCCTACACAGGTAAACAACACAGCATTATCAGGACCTATCCTACACAGGTAAACAACGCAGCATTATCAGCAACTATCCTACACAGGTAAACAACGCAGCATTATCAGGAACTATCCTACACAGGTAAACAACTCAGCATTATCGGGAACTATCCTACACAGGTAAACAACACAGCATTATCAGGGACTATCCTACACAGGTAAACAACACAGCATTATTAGAACCTATCCTACAAAGGGAAACAACACAGCACTATCAGGAACTATCCTACACAGGTAAACAACACAGCATTATCAGGAACTATCCTACACAGGTAAACAACACAGCATTATTAGAACATATCCTTCACAGGTAAACAACACAGCATTATCAGGAACTATCCTACAAAGGGAAACAACACAGCACTATCAGGACCTATCGTACAAACATAAACAAAACAGCATTATCAGGACCTATCGTACTAACATAAACAACACAGCATTATCAGGACCTATCGTACAAACATAAACAATACAGCATTAGCAGGACCTATCGTACAAACATAAACAACACAGCATTATCAGGACCTATCGTACAAACATAAACAATACGGCACTAGCAGGACCTATCGTACAAACATAAACAATACAGCATTAGCAGGACTTATCGTACAAACATAAACAACACAACATTATCAGGACCTATCCTACAAACATAAACAACACAGCATTAGCAGGACCTATCGTACAAACATAAACAACTCAACATTATCAGGACCTATCCTACAAACATAAACATCATAGCATAATCAGAAATTATCGTACAAACATAAACAACACAGCATTATCAGGACCTATCGTACAAACATAAACAACTCAACATTTTCAGGACCTATCCTACAAACATAAACAACACAGCATTAGCAGGACCTATCGTACAAACATAAACAGCTCAACATTATCAGGACCTATCTTACAAACATAAACATCATACCATAATCAGAAATTATCGTACAAAGGAAAACAACACAGCATTATCAGGACCTATCGTACAAACATAAACAACACAGCATTATCAGGAATTATCGTACAAACATAAACAACACAGAATTATCAGGAATTATCGGAAAAAGGTAAACAACAATATCTGGAATTATTGTCTTTGGTATTAGTGTTGTTCGGTCTGGATAGTTGTTTATACTTTTATATATATATAATTTTATCCAACGGTAGTAGGATTGGAAACTATATTTGTTAGTAAATATGCTAATGCTTTCATCTGTCAATCGGTTGTTTGTACGTGCTGTTAAGTGGCCTGTTTACAGTTAATTACGTTGTAGAGAGTTTTAATTGTTTGACACACTTGTGTTTTAGGTCACTTGTACATTCCCGGACGTCGGGAGAAATCATTCCCAGTGATTACAGAAAATCACAAGTTAGACATTACTGTCGACGATATAATGGGTAGAGCAAATGTAAACGTCAGTACTGATAACACCACGGGATTGGTGGGGAGTGTCCTCATTACCATAGAAACAGTTCACGTGTCCAACGGCAAAGACAAGTTCATCATTACAGTTATACCACAAAATCGTCTATCTGGTGAGTATTTATGGTAACGTAACAAAACCCTTTTTATTATTTTTCAAATATTGAAAGTGAATGTAATAGAACAATAACCTCAGGTTTGAAGAGCATATTTTAACATAACTGAGGGTATGCAACAAATTGCCGTTCAAAAGTATTCTCCAAAATGTGCTAACGCGTATTATGAAATATGTATAAACGGAACAGTGTATTGTATATCCTCATAAATGTAAAACAATCATTTCAAACTGTAAATGCTGTTACTTTGTAAAGTTACGGTATCTTTGAATTTTATTCCGGAACAAAAAATAATCCAAAACCAGTTATAAGATGACATGTTATTTCGATGCTAAAATAACACACAATTATAACGTTGCCGTTATGTCAACATAACTATAACGTTTGTGTCATAGTAACACATAACTATAACGTTGTCGTCGTGTTAATGTATAACTAAAACGTTGGTGTCATAGTAACACATAACTATAACGTGGTGTCATAGTAACACATAACTATAACGTTGGTGTCATAGTAACACATAACTACAACGTTGGTGTCATAGTAACACTAACTATAACTTTGTCGTCATGTTAATGTATAACTATAACGTTGG